ATGGAATCTCGGTAGGCCCAATCGGGATATGTTTTCCCTTAGTTGGGTTTAAGAGGATCATATTCAGCTTGTTTGTCTCAGAGGGTGTTCAACCCTAAACCCTAAACCCTAAACCCTAAACCCTAAGCCCGTATAAGCCCAGGAATGCTCCGAACTTCGATCCTGGCGGAGCGACTCCTGTCCTCCTCCGAGAGGTCTCATCCTCGGGTGGAGCCGCTGCAGGACAGTACAGGGTTTAGGGTTTAGGGTTTAGGGTTTAGGGTTTGGGGTTTAGGGTTTAGGGTTTACGGTTTAGTGTTTAGGGTTCTTAAGGGAGGGGGGTTCTTAAGGGGGGTAGGTTCCTAGGGGACCTTGGGGAAGCTTTGGGAGCCTTAGGGAGTACTGGGGAGTATTAGGGAACCTCGAGTTACATGCCCTAAACCCTAGACCCGAAACCCCAAATCCTAAACCCTAAACCCTAAACCCCCCTCCCTTAACCTTGAACCCCCCCTCCCTGAAGAGTCCAAAAAGGACACCTCGCCAGCTGCGACCCTGAGGTTTTCCGTTGAGTTGCTAGGTAGGCCCTTGGCGACATTTTGTTATTTCAGGAACCCTAAACCCTAAACCCTAAACCCTAAACCCCAAACCCTAAACCCCAAACCCTAAGGTTTTAAGGGGCATCCTAGGTTGGGTAGCTCCTCGATGATGCCGAACCTCCGGGGCTTCAAGCTGGTCTTCGACCTCTTCACCAAGGGAATCTTGCGAGATGTCTTCAACATCCCACGAGCCCCTAGGCAGGCCCTTGGGATGTTTGGGATTTGGGGTTTAGGGTTTAGGGTTTAGGGTTTAGGGTTTAGGGTTTAGCGTGGTAGGCCCTTGGGATAGTTTAGAAGTTTTCCCTCATAGTAGGCTTAAGAGGATCCTACTCTCAGGAGTGTTTTTCAGAGGCATTTATAAGGGCCATCCTAGGAACCCACTCAGAAGATTTTCGTGGCTGGCGGTGCAATCCTCGCGTGCGCACAGCTTTGGAAGCATCCGAAGTTGCAACCTCTTTACAAGCTCGTCGCGTCCGAGGTGGCCTGCTTCTCCTTGCTGAAGAAGCTGCTCGGATGCCCAGTAGTGCCCTTATTCCCTTGTTTGGGGGGGTTTAGGTTCCCTGAAAAACCCCTTTAAGCAAAAGAGGGTACCCTTTTTAATCCTGGGTTACTGAGCATCCTAGGCTGCGAATCGGACAGTCGCCGCAGGTCTTGCAGAACATCCTGGCGTTCGCGGCCGCGGGGGAGGAAGCCGTGGACAATGCTAGCAAGCCGGCCGAGCAACTTTGGCTACCCGCCGGCAGTACGGGCAACAAGGACTCCTGGGGCTTTGCCTCCTCTGATATCGATGTCTTCATCTGCTGTGAGACAGAAGAAGAAGGCAGGCAGCTCTTGAGGCAGACGATACACACCATCTGCAAGAACATCACGGAGATGCGCAAGAAAATGCTTCTGAAGAGGAGGCGAAGGGGGATCCCAGAGGAAGTTCAACTCAACAGCGCAGGCTACTCTCGTGACATTCGCCTGCTGCGATCAGCCAACGCACTTAGCATCTGGGGCGGCTGGCCATTCCGCACCGTGCAAGTCATGGTCATTCTTTACAAACGGATGGACGAGGTTTTGAACTTTTTCGACTTGGACTGCATCAGCCTGGGTTTCGATGGCCAGAACGTGCTTGCTTTACCCAGGACGCTTCGATCGCTGCAGACCTGCTCTCAGTTGTCCAAGCGCGGCCTGAGCCGTTTAGAGCGCTGTTTTCATACATAGCATCGGAGTTTTCCGGAAGCAATCTTGCAGCCACTCTCATCGCACTCGCTGCTCTCCATGCTTGAACCAGCAACTACCGCCAAAAACAGATGACGACAACAACAGACCGCCAGGTTGTTCGTAGCATGACCACTGCGGAGCCGGCGTATATTTGTATATGTCTATTCCCAAAAAAGGGGTACCCCTTTCATACCCCAAATAGAATAGAATCCCCTTAAAGGGACCCCAAACAGGGCACCCCTGTTTTCGAAACCCCCCCATATTGGCCGAGACGGGCATTCAGGTTTAGGGTTTAGGGTTTAGGCTTTAGGGTTCAGGGTTTAGGGCTCCCTAAACCCTAAACCCTAAACCCTAAACCCTATAAGCCCTAAACCATAAACCAATAAACCTCTTCCTGAGCAGAAAGCAAGAACCTCAGCCCCCAGCGCCTACACGAGCCAGCCCACCGACCCACAACCGCAATCCCCGCCCAAGCAGCAGGGTTTAGGGTTTAGGGCTTAGGAAAAATGATCCAAAACGCTTGTTTGGACAGAGAACTTGGCTACCCCAAGTTGCCACAACACGATACAGAATCGATAGTCTCCGCATCAGCTACGTGGCGCTTTTGTTCTTTGCTTACAGAAAACCAACGGAATGTGAAACGCGTTGCTCTCTCAAACTGGTTCTACGGTGGGAATAGGTAGAGAGAACCCTAAACCCTAAACCCTAAACCCTAAACCCTAAACCCTAAACTATGGCAGCAGCGAAATAGCCGTTCGAGCTACAGGGGCAGCTGCGGGTTGATCCATGAAAGGGAACCGAGATTCGACCCAAAGGGGCTTAGGGTTTCGGGTTAGGGTTTAGGATTTAGGATTTAGGGTTTAGGGTTTAGGGTTTAGGGTTTAGGGTTTAGGGTTTAGGGTTTAGGGTTTAGGGTTTGGGGTTCAGGGTTCAGGGTTTAAGGCTTAGGGGAAGTATGCCCGGTCCATCCTTCCTTCTTCAGGGTATCGGTATGAGAGTTACCGTTGGTGCCCTAAACTCTCAACCCTGAACCCCCCCCCCCCCAGTTTATACGAGTTATACGAAACCCTAAACCCTCAACTAAACTCTCAACCCTAAATCATATATACCTAAATGTTAAACACGAATTTTGCGATTTGATCAATTCTAGCCCCCTCCATTTCGGCCCCTCTGGCCCCTTTGGCCGCCCCATTGTTCAGCACGAATGTGGCGATTTGATCTTTATCGGCCCCTCTGACCCCTTTGGCCCCCCATTGGGTGCGTCTGCACAGAACTTAGTAAAAACCTTATTTCCTCAATGTTATGGGATTCTTTGGGCGGGTGGTTTTTTCTCCGTTGCCTACACACACCTAGGCACAGTGCTAAACCCTAAACCCTAAACCCTAAACCCTAAACCCTAAACCCTAAACCCTAAACCCTAAACCCTAAACCCTAAACCCTAAACCCTAAACCCTAAACCCTAAACCCTAAACCCTAAACCCTAAACCCTAAACCCTACCTCAGGACCGGGTACAACTTCGTGGAGCCGGCGAAGCTCCGGAGGTGGTCCACTGGACCTCGGATCCTGAAATACAAGAGCCGAGGCGCGGAGGTAATACCAGACATTCGAAGTTCACTGTTTAGGGTTTAGGGTTTAGTGTTTAGCTTTACATCTTATGAGCCCACGCTCAGCGGGTTCAGTCGGCCATGCTCTGCAACCTTCAAAAAGGGTGCATGAGAATAAATCTAAACCCTAAACCCTAAACACTAAACCCTAAACCCTAAACCCTAAACCAGAATAAAGAGTGGCGAGGCTTTGGAACTGTGTTCTTCGAGATTTGCAAGCACCATCCCCGATGCGACCTGCCCAAAACCTTGGATGAGGAAACAGCTCGCCGCATCGCGGCCTTGAACGGCTTCGTTTCTGCTGGCCAGGATTTGGGGTACGGCGACTTGGTAGCCCACTGGTGCCCTTTACCCTCTTTTTTTTGGTTCTGGTTTCCCTTATAAAGTATAGCCCACCCAAACAAAGGGTGCCCTTGTTATAAGATGGTTGCTGGGCTACCAAGAAGGCGAAGTGGAGCTGCCTTTTGTGGCCCGCATGCTCCTTGGGATGCACCTGGACCAGTACATGGAGATTCACGAGTCCAAGAGGCAGCGAATTCGGGAGGGCATTGACTATCAGTCCAAGGGTCTCTGGAATCTTCCAGATAGTGACCTCATTGCCGGCAAGTACCGTTATATCTCGGGTGATGAGTCGGCTTCCGAGAAGTCCATCGAGACGCTCCTCAGCGTGAGCATGGAGAAGGATGGGTTGCCAGGTGTGCGCTGGAAGAATGTGGATCTCTGGGAGAGCCGACGGGGCAATGAGTTCCTACCAAGGTGTTACATGTGCCGCGAGCGCATCGACCCCTCCGCCACCTTGGCGGAACGACCCCGACTCTGCGGTGCTTGCGAGGCTCTCAGCAGAGACAAGCTTTGCCAGCAAGCCGACCTCAATGGCAAGACAGCCATCGTAACCGGTGGCCGCGTGAACATCGGCTATGCCACGGCCCTGAAGCTGCTCCGCATGGGCTGCGAAGTGGCAGTGACCACACGCTTTCCCAGAGACTGCCTGAGGCGATTCAGCCAAGAGTCAGACTCTGCCTCCTGGATGTCGCGACTGTCCGTGTATGGGGCGGACTTTCGCAACGTGCCCACTGTCGCCGCTTTGGGAAAGCACCTCGCAAGCATGTTTCCGAAGCTGGACTTTCTTATCAACAATGCTGCTCAGACGGTGAAGCGCCCACCCGCACACTACAAGGCTCTTGTCGAGGCAGATTATGCGTGCCATGCAAAGTGTTTCAATTGCACGTCGTACGTTGGAATGTCCCCCCTTGTACTACTTGTAACTAACAGTCCTTAGTAGGGGTTATAGTACCCCCTTTTATAATCCATATTAGTGGACTCATCCCAAGTCGTACGTCATTGCGTGCACTTCTGACGGCGCAAAACCTGGGTCAACTGTGTCGACTTGACCGCCCAAAGAAAGTCCCATACCTGCCCAGAGATGTCAGGCAACCAAGCGTGCCGGCCCCACATTGACATGCGCCTTTTGCGATGTATAATTCCATTCTCAGGTAATATAAACGGTTTTCATATGTAACTTTGTAGTTTACTCTATGAAAGATATGATATGCTTCACCTATACCAAATATACATGTTTATGTTATCTTGCACATAATGTAAACTGTACATGTTTCATTTTGTTGTGTATGAGTATACACTCGAGACATATGTAGATATACGCATGTACACACACACACACTGTATGTGTGTGTACATCTATATATATATATATATATATATAAACCAAGATCCACCCCCAAGGCTTTTCAGAATCTCCTCTCCATATTATACATGCAGATGCAGAAAACGCTGCAAATACCGAGGGTTTTCGTGTTAAAACGATTGTTTCAGACTTCTTTCTTACAGCAATGTGTACATGCAGATGTCTTGGAGGGGGGGGGGGGGCGAGCATATATATATATATATATATATGTATGCTTGCCCTAAGCTCTAAACCCAGAACCCAGAAACCCAGAAACCCAGAAACCCTGAAACCCTGAAACCCTGAAACCCTGAAACCCTAAACCCTAAACCCTAAACTGCCTGCCCTAAACTAGAAACCACCTAAGACCCTAAGACCCTTTAAACCCCGCAGGCGGAGCAAACCCCGCTGGAGGCTGGTCTCGAAGATCGGCTTCGGCAGCTCCCGGGCTGCAAACCCGACCCTGAGGGAGACTTGGGAATATTTTTTTTGGCACTGTATTTCGTAAGAAACAGTTAAGAGTATAATTGTTGGTAGAGGGAGACTTGGGAATACTTTTTTTTGGCACTGTATTTCCTAAGAAACAGTTAAGAGTACTTTTTTTGGCCCTGTATTTCCTAAGAAACAGTTAAGAGTATAATTGTAGGTACTACATTACCCTGAGGGAGACTTGGGAATACTTTTTTTGGCACTGCATTTCCTAAGAAACAGTTAAGAGTATAATTGTAGGTACTATATTACCCTGAGGGAGACTTGGGAATCCTTGTATATTTCTTGGGCGCTGTATTTCCTAAGAAACAGCCAAAATGATAATCGTAGTTTTTTGGTTTTTGGTACTATATTTCCCAAGAAACAGCTCATTGTTTAATTTTTGCTAGGGTCCCAAGTTCAGTATAGGACCTCAAGTACCTGCTGGACGACAGCGACGCCATCGCCGACAGCATCCCTGGCCCTGTGGCATCCCCGTCTGGGCAACTGAGCCTTAGCCAACTACCCGTCGCAGAGGCCATTGAGGGGTAGATATACCTTATATACTCCCTACATACTTTACTTGAGTAGCCCCTAAATAACCCCGAAATAATCCTTAAATATCCCCCCAATAACCCCCAAATAACCACCCCTAGATAACCCCTAAGGTCCCTGAAAAATAAGGGTCCCTCCTGTAGTCCCTTGAGGCCAAGGATCTGCGGGCGGAGACCAGCTGGACTGCGAAGATCGGCGAGGTGGGCTTCAGAGAGATTGCGTTTGCAGGTGTAATAGAAAGCTCGGAATAGTTGCGAATCGTATTCCCTTATGGTCCTTGGATAGTAGTACTCTTAATAGGTCCTCAAAAACCTATTCTAATTGTTATAAGGCCCCTATAGTAGGTATGACGTAGGTCCCCGTTTAGGGATCAAAGCGAGTCTAGGGAGGAAATCAAGGAGGCTGAAGGGACTTCAAGGCTAAGGGTGGTTGAAGGAGCCAAACGGTGTCTACATGATATGGGGGGGTTTCCGAAAATGGGGACACCCTTTTTGGGGATCCCTTTCAAGGGGATTCCATTCTATTTAGGGGTATAGCAGGGGTACCTCCCCTATTTTGGGAAGTTCAAATCCCCCAAAAAACCCCCCAAAGCCCCCAAACCTGCCCAAACCCGCCCAAACCCGCCCAGAACCCCCAAACCCCCCCAACCCCCCCCCATATCTGACACCCAGGTGTCATGGGTTGAGAGCGTGGAGGTGCAGGTGATCAATGTGACGGCACCCTTCGTGCTGCTCAGCGAGCTGAAGCCCTCGTTGCTGTCGAAGGCGGGAGAGCGGCAAAAGTGAGTTTTTTTAAGAGACTGCAAGTTCCCTAGACCCTATAAACCCTAAACCCTAGTTACACCCTAAACCCGAAACCCTGAACCCTAAACCCTAAACCCGAACCCCCAACCCGCAAGGAGGCGATGGAGCCCCAAAAGGACGCGACAGCGCGCATCTTGCGCCGGGAGGACAAGGAGCCGCGTGACTTGCTGAGCGGCGAGGGCCCTGGCACAATACCCAGACGCTACCTTTATGGATACGTCGCTCGGTACTATACCTTATTACTTTTTGTTGGGTTCTGGGTTCCTGTCAAAGCGCTACCTTTATGGATACGTCGCTCAGTAGGTGTTTGGGATATGCCATTTTTTCCCTTGTTAGGTTTGAGAGGATCCTATTCAGGACTGTTTTTTAGGGATGCGTCGCTAGGTAGGTTCTTGGGATATTTTCTATTTGCCCTTTTTCGGTTCAAGAGGATCCCTGTTCGGGAGCCCCTACACCCTAAACCCCAAACCCCAAACCCCAAACCCCAAACCCCAAACCCTAAACCCTAAACCCTAAGGGGTTTAAGGTCAAAGGGCCATCCGAGGTCGGGCAAGGCCTCCAGGAGAAACGGCGGCAGCTCATGAAAGAAGTGAAACGTGGTAGCTAATGTGTAGACTTTACACTTTTTGGGTTTAGGGTTTAGGGTTTAGGGGGGCTTAGGGTCTAGGGTTTAGGGTTTAGGGCTTAGGGCGAACTGAAAGTGCACACTTTTTTGTGGCCGTCTCAGCTCAGCAGCTAAGGAAGTATGTGGTCAACGTCACCTCCCAGGAGGGGTCTTTCCGTTCCCTTGGCAACAAAGGGGCCAACCACCCCCACACCAACATGGCCAAAGCCTCGCTGAATATGCTCTTTGGCTGGGCTTAGGGTTTAGGGTTTAGGGTTTAGGGTTTAGGGTTTAGGGTTTAGGGTTTAGGGTTTAGGGTTTAGGATTTCGGGTTTAGGGTTTAGGGTGCTTTACTTGACTCGTCCCGCTCCAGTCGTTGGCAAGCCGGGTTGCTCCACCTAAACCCTAAACCCTAAACCCTAAACCGTAAACCCTACATAGTGGGATCTGTTTCGTGCTGCCCTGGGGGGGTGGGGGGTGGGCGGGGTACGATCTTCTTTTAAGGATCCCCCTAGGGATCCTAAAAAAGGGACGGGCTGATGTAGGGCCCTAACTCCCGCATTCCCTACTAAGAACCAGCCCTAAACCCTAAACCCTAAACCCTAAACCCTAAACCCTAAACCCTAAACCCTAAACCCTAAACCCTAAACCCTAAACCCTAAACCCTAAACCCTAAACCCTAAACCCTAAACCCTAAACCCTAAACCCTAAACCCTAAACCCTAAACCCTAAACCCTAAACCCTAAACCCTAAACCCTAAGCCCAGCCAGTTTAAGGATGACCTGCTCTGTGGCCGACGAGTTCAGCCGTGCAGGCGTGGCCATCGTGTCGGTGGACACTGGCTGGATCTCAAGGAGTCCCCTTTCTAAGCTGCTGAACTTGTTGGCTTTAGGGTTTAGGGTTTAGGGTTTAGGGTTTAGGGTTTAGGGTTTAGGGTTTAGGGTTTTTGTTGGATGGAGGGTCCCCTGACCTGAGTAGCTCATGGAAAGACCTGAAAGCTCGAAGCACAGGCTTTCAAGATATGTTCGCCACACGAGATGCAGAAGCCTCAAGCATGAAAAAGCACACGGCTCGCAATCATGTAGGAGCATGTTTAATTCGAATAGTTTTTTTTTTTTTTTTTGGGGGGGGGGTTATGCTAGTATGAATAGAAAGGGGCCGTAAGAGAATATTGTTCGTAGTTACTCCGACCCTATAGTACACTACATCGCATCTCGAGCCCGAGACCTTGAAGCAGCAGCATGCTACTGGGCTCTTATTCGGGAAGGTGTTTGTAATCCCCGGTCCCTAGCCCTTTTGGTTGTTCTAGAACGGAATATAGGGGTCGGAATAATTAGAAATAGTATTCCCTCATGATCCCTATATCAGAATATGTACTAAATTCACCCCACCCCCCTACCAAAAAAAAAACTCGATTCTAATTATTAAGGCTCTAAGGTACCATCGTTCCCTTCTTCCCTTTGAAGAATCAGTACCCTCATCCCTCAACCCTAAACACGAAGCTCTAAACCTAAACCCTAAACCCTAAACCCTAAACCCTAAACCCTAAACCCTAAACCCTAAACCCTAAACCCTAAACCCTAAACCCTAAACCCTAAACCCTAAACCCTAAACCCTAAACCCTAAACCCTAAACCCTAAACCCTAAACCCTAAACCCTAAACCCTAAACCCTAAACCCTAAACCCTAAACCCTAAACCCTAAACCCCAAACCCTTAAGCCCGCCAGGATGAAACCGGAGCCCCTCGCCGAGGCAGAGCCACACGTGCAGAGTGCGCCGCCCCTCAGCGCCGAGGACGATGTTTCTTTGGGTAGGGATTTGGGTTTTTTGCTGGTCTGGTGTTTAGGGTATCGAAAAAAAACTTGGGTTGGGAAAGATGGCAAGGTTTGTTTAGGGTTTTTGGTGGGGCTTGAGGTTTCAGCACCGCCTGCGGTGTTGGGGGGGGGGGGGGGGGGGGGGGGGGGGGGTGGTCTGGGGCAGGCCGGCTTAAGGTTAGGGGTTCCATGCTCTGTCGGAGCTTTGGTGCTTGCTTCCTGCTCGCCCTGTGGCAGTCTACGGTTCAAGTCAGGATTCAGGGTTCATCAGGGCAGCCTAAGCTACCCTCAGACCTAAACCCCAAATCCCGCCTAAGAGCAGTATTCTTCGGCCGCAAGTTCTCCATCTGAGGTTGAAGATGTGCGCGATGCTTCAAGTTTTTGAGATTCATCCGGGCGGGTCCGAAGCCCGTTATCCTTATGCCCCCTGATCCATGCCCACAAACCCTGTATACCATCGGGCTTGACGGTTTAGGGCAAGTTTAGGGTTAAGGGTTATGGGTTAAGGGTTAAGGGTTAAGGGTTTTTCACCCCAAGCGCACAGAGATGTTTCGAGAGGATGGAGCAGCTCGGGTGCTGGATCCCATCATCTCCACGATGAAGCTTCGGTTTGAATTTAGGGTTTAGGGTTTAGGGTTTAGGGTTTAGGGTTTAGGGTTTAGGGTTTAGGGTTTAGGGTTTAGGGTTCAGGGTTTAGGGTTTAGGGTTTAGATGGGCTCAGGCTTAGGGGTTAAAATGGGCTTCGTGGGCTTAGAAGGTAAGTCCGCAAGCTCCAGCACAAATAGGCATGTTTTCCAGCTGCCACCGAGCACGGCAACCCCAAATCCCAGAACTCAGAACCTTGAAAGATCTTTGAGTAAAGTGATGACAGTGACAACATGCTGCTTCTGCTGATGATGGTGATAACTGCTGCGGCTGCTGATGATGACGATGATAATGATGATCAGTATGTAGTTTTAGAGTATTCGTCTGAATGCGAGTGATACAATTTTCTACATTCTGCTCGTAAACTCCAAGCCCATCAGCAAAGGAACGGCCAGCAGCCCGTGACTGGCTGCCTGCTGAGAAACTTTCAACCGGTCGACTGGTAGGGTTTAGGGTTTAGGGTTTAGGGTTTAGGGTTTACGGTTTAGGGTTTAGGGTTTAGGGTTTAGGCTTTAGGGTTTAGGGTTTAGGGTTTAGGGCTTTCTGGTAGCTTCCCCTTGCTCACTGGTCCGTAGTAGGGAATTTAGGATTGCGGTGCCGTGCATATGGTTCACCCTGTAACCACCAGGGCCAATATATGCAGCTAAAAGGTACTTCATTCTCGAATTCCCTACAAAGAACCAGTATAAGCTTGGGGGTTTAGGATCTAGCGTCGCCAGTTTTGAGCCACGCTCTGGCAGTGGAAATGTTTAACCAATCTCTGGCCTGCATGATTGTTCCTCAGGCGACCGCAGCATGCAGGCGGTTGAGCACAAAAAGCACGAGAGCAAGCCCAAGAAATCAGTCTCAATGACGGTACCCCCCGACAATCTCGCACCCCCCCCCCCCCCCCCCCAAACCAAGCCGAAAACCCTAAACCCTAAACCCTAAAAACCTCATGTCAGGCGATCTCCAGCAGCAAAGCGGAGGCGGACAGCACCCAAGGTGAGACTTGTCCAGGCGACGCATGAAACAGGGTTTATATTACGTTATTGTGAGTGTATTTATGGTCCCTTTTAAATCTTGGTGAGTGTATATATTGGTGTCCTTTTCAGGATACAAGAAAGATGAACCGTTACTGTTATGGGCTCGGTTTACCCTTAGAGCCTGCGACATGGGGTTTTAAGGCTTAGGGTTTGGGTCTAGGGTTGAGGGTTTAGGGTTTATGGCTTAGGTTGAGGAGGGATAGTGAAAAGTATAGCCAATGACCAAGGCATCGTTAGCGAGGTTCACGGTGCGTCGGATACGCGGTCGAACCTGTTAAGCCTCAGCCGAATCCCCAAAACCCTAAACCCTAGAACCTCAACCAAAGCCTATCAACCCTGTCAACCCGTCTGAAACCTATTTCACCCTAAACCCCAAGCCCTATACCCAAACCTATCCTGGGTGCCGACACATGGGGCAGGTCTAAGGCTAAGCACCGAGCCTTCTGTCGTGACGGATGGGCCAAGCTCCCTGTGACTATACTTCCAGTTAAGGGGTCAGGGTTTAAGTTTAGGGTTTTAGGGTTTAGGGCTTCCTGCACCCTAAGTTCTTTCTATGTCTATGTAGGGTGAAGTTGAAAAGCCGATGGGCTCCATCAACGCCCGCGTTCATCTCGAAGCTGCTCGGTGAGGGCCTTGCGACAGACCCTCTGAACCCCCAAGCCCTAAACCCTAAACCCTAAACCCTAAACCCTGGACCCCAAACCCTGGACCATGACCCCAAGCCCCGCACACTTAAACCTCCAAATCCCAAACCTGCGGTTTAGGGGGATTACGGTTACGGCTTAGGGTCCTAATCCTAAATCCCTAAAACCCTAAAACCCTAAAAAACCCTAAAAACCAGTTTAGGGTTGAGGGCCCCCAAATCAACGAAGTGGGCATGCGGAGCAGGAAGTCGACGACATCTTTGCGCAACCCGTGGCCGGCGAGCTCCGGATCTCTCCCTTCCCCCATGTTTTCAGCATGGGTTCCCCTACCAAGCTGCAAGGTTTAGGGTTTCGGGTTTCTAGGGTTATATTTAATTAGCCTTAGCTATCCCTAAATCGCCTTAACTATGGGGGGAACCTAGGGCTAGCATAGAGGGGCGCAGTAGGGAAACCCATGGATTTCAGGGGACTCTTCTTGGCCAAGCCTGATTTAGATTGGCAAAAAAGGAATGTAACATTTGACGATTTTGCGTGTGCACTGGCCCGACCGGCAAAGTCTAGAAACCTATATACTTCTTTTGCACCAAGGAACGAAGAAACGAAAGAGCAATAGCTAAATTTAGACGGTACTTCGCATCTGTCCGGCACAGTTAGGACTACTTGGAGGTTCATGGTAATCAATGACCCAGTCGTAACTGTACTTAGAACCCAATTGATAACCAAATTGGGCAACGTAAAGGGCTTATAAGTGGGTTAGAAGCACATTTTTTTAATTGGGTGATTGAGTCCATGAACCTCCAAGTAGACTGCAAGTGTCCTGCCTCCCTTGGTTTCGCGTGGACTGCAATCGGTTCCCCATGCTTGTGACTTTGTGGTCTCTACAGGGCTGTTGAGAGTTCTTCTGAAATGGTGATTTCCGACAATGGGGGGTTCCCCTTATATACCAAACATACTTACAATGTTTTTTGAACAGAACCCCAAACTATCGGAACCCCCCCCCCCCCCCAAATTCGTCCCCTCTGGCAGGGCGCAGACGCATCCGAAGATGAAGAAGAAGAAGAGGAGGAAGAGGGCGATTCGGACGAGGCTGAGGGTTTAGGGTTTAAGGATTGGCTTTTTGTCTTATTGCCAGCCTGGGAGTACTAAAAAAGCTCTAGACCCTTTAGACCCTTATCCCTGTTTTTAAGGGCTTACTTGGAGGATCCTGGGACTTAGTAAGTAGGGCTTTTAGTAACCTAATTGGGGTTATAAGTAATAGTAACTATAGTCGCCCTAATTTTAACCCTAGTTACGACTTCCCCCCGATCCTTCAAGTAGGTTCCCTGTCAACCCGCTTTAAACCAAACAGGGTGTGAGCTCCCCCAGATGAAGCGCAGGCGCGTTGCACCTTGGGTTTACTCCTAAACCCTAACCCGAAACCCTAAACCCCAAACCCTAGTAGAGTTTTCTGTAGGGTGGATAAGGTGTAGGGTTGGCTTAGGATGAGATTTATCAGGTCTAGGGTTTACTGCAGGGTTCGGGGCCTCCATCCTGCGCCTGTGGCCACAGGAGTGTGCCAGCAGCGCTGCTGCGGCACAGGCAGCCAAGAGGTCGGAAGAGGAAGGTCCTGATGATGGGAAGGAGGCACCGAGCTTTAGGGTTTAGGGTTAGGGTTTAGGGTTTAGGGTTTAGGGTTTAGGGTTTAGGGTTTAGGGTTTAGGGTTTAGGGTTTAGGGTTTAGGGTTTAGGGTTTAGCCTTAAAAGGAACCCCTTCTGAACCCTCTGCTGGCTCTCTTAAACAGGGACCTTATTCAGAGGGTCCATATCCCCAAGGGTCCCCCTACCTACTCCTATCCCCTACGAGCTGCTGGGCATCCGCCCTGGACCGTTGCTTTCGAGTTGGCTGCAGATCCACCACACTGACTGCTGCAAACGCCGTTTCTTCAAGTCTGTTTTGTTGGCTTGCCAGCGTGTGTAACCAGAAATTGGTCAACCAAGTTCATAACAAACTACAATGGGGATAGTAGGGTTTAGGGTTTAGGTTTAGGGTTTAGGGTTTAGGGTTTAGGGTTTAGGGTTTAGGGTTTAGGGGTTAGGGGTTAGGGGTTAGGGGTTAGGGGTTAGGGGTTAGGGGTTAGGGTTTAGGGTTTAGGGTTTAGGGTTTAGGGTTTAGGGTTTAGGGTTTAGGGTTTAGTGTGCAGGCTTCGAGTCCGCCGGCAGAGGAGGCAGCCCTCATCTCGTGACATTTTTGTTGCCACTCATGATTCAGGGTTTAGGGTTTAGAGCTTAGGGTTTAGGATTCAGGGTTTAGGGTTTAGGGTTTGGGGTTTAGGGTTTGGGGTTTAGGGGGCCATGTCCCATTCCCGCTTCATTCTCTACGAACCACCAGCAAAAGCCAAGCCTGCGGAGAGAGGCCATGGATGTTAATTCAGGTGTCCTGCCTGAACCCCTCGCCTGGCGAATTAGTTAGTTCTAGCTAACCAGATAGCAAACCCCTTCTACTTAAATAGGCCCCTAAACCTTAACCCCCAGACCCTAGACCCTAAACCTTAAACCCTAAACCTTAAACCCTAACCCTAAACCGGCCACCATATGATTCAGTGTCAGGTGTCCTCCCCGAAGCCCTCCATGCCAGTGGTTGGCCAGGCCGCAAGGGCGGAGGGGTGTCGGGGTCCTGTTTGCGAGTCTTATGGGGCTTAAGGGATTTTACAGGTCTAGCATTTTGAGGTTTGGAGTCTAGGGTTTAAGTCTCTAGGGGCTCTGCAGGATTCAGGGCCGAGGGTTGCAGCTTCATAGCCCTAAAACCCTGAACCAAACCCTGAACCCACAAAAGGCTCCCTAGATCCGAGATTCTTCCCTTTGCTTGCGGGGGTGCAGCTTGGAGCGAGCCGCATGGCCCGAGCCATGATAGAGCCAACATGCATTCAATGTGCGACAGAGTGGGGTGCGATGCCCATTGTGCTTCCGACTAGGTCCTGGTGTAGGTCCAGGAGGCCCATCGGTTCAGCTGCAACTGAGTTGCATGAGCTCGCCACAACCACAAGCCCACACGAAGCTCGTGTGTTTCTTTGAGTGGCTGTAGGATTTGGGTAAAGAGACGGTGCGAGTGCGGACAGCGAGTGGAGCCATGGGAAAGCTGGGAAAGCGTGGCGCCGACTCGCTGGTAGAGGCGCTTGGCAGAGAGCTGGGTTAGCAAACGCCTCCAGCGAGAGAGAGAGATAGACAGAGAAAGAGAGTTTTATGTCAGGCGCCCTCTTTCGTTCTTGGAAGGAATCGAGTTGTTGACATGATATTCCGCAACACGCAACATATGTTCAGGTTTCAGCGAATGCCTGCACGTTCCTTTGCTCGTCAGGCATCGGCCGCGACCGTCCGCCGCAGAGTCCTCCAGAAAAGTGCGCCGGGGAACGACGCCGAGGCTGTGGGGCGCTGACTGGGCAGAGCAGGTGCAACATGCTACAAGATGTTGCCCTACTAATTTGCCTAAGAACCCCACAGAAAACTGTTAAAACAGAATCATCCCTATATTGCCCTTATAAGGAAGAATGTGTCTTTTTCATTTCGGGGGTTCGAAAACCATTAGAACTTCCAGGGAACCGAATATGGTTCCTACTGGAACACTCAAGGGCACACAAACGCGGTTCCTTGAAGTACAGGGTTGGAAGAACCCTAAACCCTAAACCCTAAACCCTAAACCCTAAACCCTAGTTCTTTGTGGCAGGGCCTGCTGGCCAAGCTTGACAGCGACTTCTCAAGCAACGCAGTCTTGTGAGCTGGGTTGCTATCAAAAGCCGCGGCAGTAAGTGTGGAAGCAAAGTTTCGAGCTGAGAGGGCGTAGTGAGGCTTTTATTATAGGGGCCTATTGGTTTCGTAGGGTGGTGCACTGGGGGTACAGGTTTATGGGGCAGAACGGTTTACGAAGCATGCGGAAGCTCAGGATACAACCTGGACAGCTCGCCGGGGACCGTGTGCCTGGGTGGCAATACGACAGATGAGATCGCCCCTGGAATCTGAGCCCTAAACCCTAAACCCTAAACCCTAAACCCTAAACGCCCTGGCCTTGTCAGTGATAGGCCCTCCTGTATAGAACAGAATGGGGCGGCTCGAAGACTGAGTCATCCCGGCTCGTAGCACATGAACGCGCAGTATAAAACAGAATGGGCCGTTTAGGGTTTAGGGTTCAGGGTTCAGGGTTTAGGGTTTAGGGTTTAGGGTTTAGGGTAGTTTAGGGTTTAGGGTTCAAAGGTCTAAGAACCTGGTGTAAGCCTGTGATCAGCGAGACTTTGTCTTCAATGTTCCGATTCCGGGAACCTGCTTCAAGCAGGTTTCTGCATGGATCCCATATGGGATTTCTGATCCCTCAACCAAGGTGCCAGAAGACGGGGGCCACCCCGACAAAAAAGGAGGTGGAAAAGGCTCAGCAGCTGGAACCCAAAGGCAAAGTCGGGAGCAAAGCGCCTGAAGAGAAAGAGAATCTGCCGATGAATGACGAGCCCCAGCCAAGCGCAAAGGCGGGACGCTGCCAGCAGCATAGGGTTTAGGGCTTTCGGGTTTTAGGTTTTAGGGTTTCGGGGTTCTTTAGGGTCTTTTACGGTTTAAGGATTAGAGTTTAGGGCAGTGCGTCTGCAAGAGTGTTGTGTACTGCCAGGCATGTCTTCTGCCCTTGAAGGACTTCTAACAGCCTAAAGATGTGATCTCTAGAGGTGCAGGGATGCGACCTAGCACTGCTTGATCTAAACGGCATGCTGCCCCGGCATTGCAATGCACACCGAAAATCCGGCTACGCAGGCGAAAGCAAAGTCGAAGGCTAAGGCCAAACCAAAGGCCAAAGCTTCACAAGCCCCTGCGAAGGCGGCAGAGGACCAGGCGCCCTAAAGTGCTCTTGAGACCTAACTGGGGTCATGTGTTAGGGTTTTGGGTTAGGGTTAAGGATTTAGGGTTATAGGGTTTTTTAGGGTTCAGCGTTCACAAGCGTGTTGCCCGCAGGAATGTCGTGCCATTTTCTAGCTATCACATCATGCTATTACATCATTTTTTCAATTCTCATTGTATCACCCTAAACCCTAAACCCTGATTGCATCGCCCCAGCTCTTTGGGGCTTCTCAGCGATGGCAGGCGCAGGCGGATGGCGACAGGACCGCCGGTGCCGATCTTTGCGTGGTCAGGTTTGCCTCCGGGTCGCGGCAAGCACTTGAAGAGAGGAGTCCTTTTAGTCTTAGACCCTGAACCCCTCACCCTAAACCCTAAACCTTCTTAGAGTGGTAGAGTTTGGGGTTTTGGCATTTTGGAGGCTAAAAAAACTGTGCGACACCTGCAAAACCTTGCGACCTCACGCTTGAAATCCCGAAGACCAGACCCTGGACCTGCAGCCCCGAGCCCTGCACCGTGCCCTGCACAGATATGTAGGTCAGCCCCCCCCCCCCCCCCCCCCCCCCCCCCCAAAAAAAAAAAAAAATAGAACAATATTGATTCGTCTTCATAGCATTATCATCATAGTTATACTAAAATAAAAAAAGAAAATAAGCTAAAAAATGTCAAGGCTGCCCCCACGGAGTCGAATGAGGAAAGAGGCCAGAGGACCTCCATCCACTGCCCTGTACTACTTATGAGCAGGGTTATAAGTAGGGTAATTGTGGTTATAGCTTTAGGGTACTTAGGGTACTTTTAACCCCCTTATAAGTACCCAAGAAACTGTGGAGGGGTTGGGGGGCAAGGACCCAGTCCGACACAGCCACTTGCCCCCCTGGGGCGTCTCTGCTGCAACCCAGAGGCTTGTACGTCGGGACTTCTTGGGTACTGGCATGGGTTCTCGCAATTCACGCGCCTTGGGGCTTTTTGAGGCCTGGGTTCCTTCGGAGGTTGTTGGAAGTCAGAGGGGTGGATGACAAGGTCCAAGATGCGTGGCTCCAATCGTAGGAGCGATTAGTGACTTGGGGCAGATTACTTTCGGCCTTATTCGCGTTACCCTGCCTACTAGTTTTGTTGTTTGGCAGCGATTCCTCCGGTGTAGAATTCAGGGCTTAGGGAAGCCCCTTCGAACAGTCTTTCCCATGCCGGCCTGCGATGTACGAGGGGTCGACATCGGTAGCAGCTACACTTCTGCCATAGGCCGCTGGCATAGGCCATGAGCGACTGCCACTGAGCTAAGGGTAGTTACACGGGCCCTTAATATGGTCTCTTACCTCCTCCCTTGGGTTTTATAGGGTATTAAAGGGGTATATACGGGGTCCACTGTTAAGGGCCCATACTCAGGGACCATGAAAACCGAGGCGCTGGCAGGAAGTGCCGATTTGAACAAACTGAACCGGCAGTTCGAAGCGGCGCTTGCCAAACTCGATGACTTGGCTTCTTGGCAGCCCAGGTCTTTTTTGGCTTGAACCCTTAACCTTCTTTTTTTATTCTATATATATATATATAATCATAATGTATAATATGCAGTATATATATAAATATGTATACCGAAATTCCCTAGTAGAATGACCACTCCCCCAAAAAGGGTGCCTATTAAACTACGGTTGCTGGGCTACTAAGGCTTGCACCAACCGCGCTCGCATGATGCCTGCACTTTGAGGGGGGAGTCAAAACAAGCCGCTGATCTGGGCGCGTTGAGACAAGCACCTTTACTTGGGATGTTCCCCCCTTATGCTAACAGTCCTCAATAGGGATTACAATACCCTTAAACCCTAAACCCTAAACCCTAAACCCTAAGTCATAATAGGGGGTACTAGAATCCCCATGAAGGACTGTTAGTCTAAGGGGGAACATCCCAAACATGGAGCTCAAGGCACCCTAGCTTCGGCAGTTCAACAGACCTCCTCCTTCTTGGTAGCCCTGCAGTACCCTTTACCCTTTTTGTTGCTTATGGGTTCCCTTTTATAAAGTAACTAACCCAAAAAAGGGGTGCCCTGATTATAGTATGGTCTCTGGGCTACCAAGCCTTACCCAGAGGGTCCATTTGCATTACCATTATGCAATTAGGTACCCCAAAACCATACTGAATAGGGTTTTGGGGTACCTAATTCCATAATAGTACTACAAATGAACCCTCTGGGTTATATGGCGAGCCAAGTCAACGACGCGCTTGCATGGTGCAGGTCGTCTCGGACGAGCGGAAGCCTCAGCAGCCCAGAGACTCCAAAACCCCTTAGTTAAGGAATATACCTTAAATTATAATAGGAACCCTAATATGATTTAAGGTATATTCCTTAATTAAGGGGTTTTGGAGTCTCTGGGAGGATTGGGAACAGTGAGGGGTAGAGACGGGCTTGGATCAATCAGTCCACTTGCATGATGACAGAGATGTATGAACCTGTATCCCTATGGCCCTGTGACCCTGTTAGGCCTGTCGCCCATAACCCTAACCCCTATTGCCCTTCACCCCCTATCCCCCTTGACCCTAATGCAGCACTGACTATCTCCATAGGGTAGTTCTCTAAATTAGGGTGCCTTTTGGGGGTTCCTAAAAACGGACCCTGTGTTAGAGAGCTGCCCAAAGAAAGTTGCCCCAAGCACTCTCCCCATGCGACACTTTGCTGTGCCTAGGATGGATGACATCTTCTCTGAGTTCTGCACAGAGATTGAGAAGCTGCCATGACCAAAAAAAGAGCAGATAGAGTGTAATACAAATGGTAGTAACCAGAAACAGAATACTATCAATATGAGCATCTATATAGGAGATCATGGGAACACTGTCGATGGATTCATGCGCCAGGAGAGTGGTAAGGTGCCTATAGACGACTATAGCCACTAGACAGTTCCTGGGTTTTGGAGTACTATACGTTAATACTTTTTTGGGGTTCTGGGTTCCTATTATGGCTACTTATACCTAAACAATATATAAGAAGAAAGTACAGGCTTTTGGAGTACGATACTTTAATACTTTTTTGGGTTCTGGGTTCCTGTTGTACAGTAGTTACTTATACCGAAAACAGTATATCATTTTTTCCGGGGTCTCCTCCAAGGTAGGGCATTCCTCATAGCCCACATCATTTATCCAGCAGCTCTCGGGTAAACTTGGGAGGAAATACGAGCCGGCCCAGCGTTCAATCCACCGCGGCAATCGCGATTTCTATAGTACATACTCTGTGTGGACAAACGTTTCGCGCAGGCACATGCACCGGTGCAGAAACCTGAAAGCTCGGCAAGTAGGACCACCCACGGCACTGCTTGCAGAGTGTGAGCTGCGCCTATCTTGGACCATAGGAGCCAAACGCTATTGGCATCGTAATATGAAGCACAGGCTGCTTGAGTCAAGAGGTTTTACTGAACTAGGAAAGCACCTGTCGGATTCTGCCTGAAGGGTTGTTGTCAACCTGAAACAGAAATTGCTACGTCCCAAAAAAGGCAGCTCAGTCACACTTGCAAAGTAACACTCTAACCCTAAACCCGAAACCCGAAACCCTAACACAGGGAAGAAGCAGAGAGCTCTCCAAGCTACGCGCCCAACGTGAGATGCCATGGCATGGCTGGGCCGTCTCCCCAAGCGGCCCTTCGAAGCGAGCCTCGCAGGCGACCTCGAGGGCACGCAGGGTGTAGGATTCAGGGTTTAGGGTTTAGGGCTTAGGGCTTAAGCCCTAATAGGGTTTCGGGTTTAGGGCTTAGGGCTTAGGGCTTGGGGTTAAGGCGGGTTTAGGGGTTGAGGGGGTTCAGGGGTTCAGGGGTTCAGGGGTTCAGGGGTTCAGGGATCACTTGGAGGTTCACGGGTAGTTATAAGTAACTCTATACGACTCTAAATAGGGTAACTCTATACGACTCTAAATAGGGTTAGAGGTATAGTTGCCATAACTTATAACCCTACTTATATCTTCCCCAGAACCTCCAAGTTCAGGGGTTTTGGGGGTTTTGGGTAGATCGTGAGGTGACTGTATCAGCAGCAAGAAGTTGCAGAGATTCCAGTTGGAGTGAGTGTTCAAACCTTAAACCCTGAACCCTGAACCCTGAACCCTAAACCCTAAACCCTAAGCCCTAAGCCCTAAACCCTAAACCCTAAACCCGTTTCGTGGGCAGATGCGCCGGCCGCGCCGCTAGATGTGCAAGTCGACCGAGCAGAGTGTGATGTGACCGACTCCAACGAGCGGCCACGAAGACGCCTCCGGCGACTTGCAGAGGCTCGTCGCAGCAAAGCTTGGGTTTAGGGTTTTAGGTTTTAGGGTTTAGGGTTTAGGGTTTAGGGTTTAGGGTTTAGGGTTTAGGGTTTAGGGTTTAGGGTTTAGGGGTCTCTGCAGTTTTTTCCCGCGGGAAGCAAGCACGTTCATGTTCGCAGGAGGGCCAACATGAGGAGCTCTTTTGGGATGCGCCCGAAGTCGCAAGGCGCCAGTGCGAGTTGCTGACCTCATTAAAGCACGCAGCCGTGAAGAGTGAAGAGAGAGCCCAGAGGGTCCATTTGTAGTACTATTATGGAATTAGGTACCCCAAAACCCTATTCAGTATGGTTTTGGGGTACGTACCTAATTCCATAGTAGTAATACAAATGGACCCTCTGGGGAGTGTGAGAGAGACATGAAGCGCTCAAGCTTGCCCGCTTGACCGCAGGTCACATGCCAATGCCGCAGGCTGCATCGACTTGTCAGAGGAGACCTCTCCTCCAAGTCACCCGCGCCCAGGCGCCCGCCTGGGCAGCCGCTTCCAGTGGCCGACGGAGCCAGCACCAAACCGAGCAAGGCCAGCGAGTGAGGCGAGGGGGAGCCAACAGGTTAGCGCGGATTCCGTTCGCCCGCTGACGGAAAGGGAGGAGCCGGAAGAGCAAGACTTGGTGTTACTTGACGCCGGAGTCACTGGAGATCGTCCCAGGGAGCGTCCCTCTCCAGCCCGTCCCCGAGCCCTGCCCCGAAGCTTTGCATCAACTCGTCCACCGCCTGCTGCGCTGCCCGTGCTGGAGGAGACGAAGCAACGTTTTTTGTGTTTGAAGGCCTTCCGTCTATACTTGGAGGGACCTCGTTCTTGCGTCCTTAGGGTTGTAGAAACCCCATTTGGTGCTTGGAAGTGTCAGGCAGGTGAAGATCCCGACACTCCAGGGGGTCTCCCAAATCCCAACAGGTTGTTGGAACCCAAAACCCCTAAATGCTAAGCCCAGGTTTGTAAAAGGCACCCTAAACCCCGAACCCTAAACCCCTAAACCCTAAACCGAAAACACAACAAGCCCTCCAGGAAGCTGTTCTTGCCGGGATGCTGCCCCCCGAGTTTCTGGGTGCGCTTCCCAGGCCGATTCTGGGAGCGCACGGGGGGGAAGTTTTTTTGGGCACCTGGGAGGGAGGGGGGGGGGGTGGGCGAGTAACCCTGCTCGGTTTGGGGTTTAGGGGTTCAGGGTTGGAAAAAAGCAGTGGAGTATTCTTGGGTAATTCAACAGGGGTCCCCCTACTTGGGAGACACTATGAGAGTTGATCAATACCATGGGCATACTTCTCTCATAGACTTATAAGGATACCTAAGCCCTAAACCCGAACCCCCTGCCCCCCCCAAAGCAAAAAAGGCCCCACAACTGTGAGCAACCCTCCATCGACTTTCCCGAATTCTAAGTCGGGGGTGGACTGTGAGGTTCTCAATGGAAGTGTCCAGAAATTGCTGGCACATCCTGATAGGTCGTAGTACCCTAAACCTATATGAAACCTCCGACGTTAGCCTAAACCCCGAACGTTTCAAAGCTTACTGGCTCGAATCTCAGCCCTTGAACCCCTACTATCCTTAAGCCCCGAAGCCCAAACCCTAATAAATACTAAGCCCTAAACCCTCTGAAGCCTAAACACCCGCTGGGGGGCAGTGCTGAGTTAGCCTGGAATACCGGCAAAGGGTGTAGGGCTTAGGGTTTAGGGTTTAGGGTTTAGGGTTTAGGGTTTAGGGTTTAGGGTTTAGGGTTTAGGGTTTAGGGTTTAGGGTTTAGGGTTTAGGGTTTAGGGTTTAGGGTTTAGGGGGTTCAGGCCCTCGTTCCGATCTCTTAAGGGGCTAGCAGGCTGTTTCTGGTAAGCTGGGCAGTTGCGGTCAAGTAGTTCTTGCCAATCGTTGCGCAGTGTAGGGTTTAGGGTGTAGGGTGTAGGGTTTAGGGTTTAGGGTTTATGGTTTGGGGTTTAGAATTTAGGGCTTAAGGTTTAGGATTCCAACCGGTTTGGGAACCTGCGAGCCTGCGAGGCCGTGCGTTGCTGGAGGCTGGCGCGCGTCACCCGTGGATCGTGCGCTGATCTCCGCCGCCTCGAACGGCGGTGCGTTGGCTTCAGATGCCTGGCGTTGATAGCACCTGTCCTAAGCCCAAATCCCCGAAAGACCATAAATGGCTCTGTTTAGTAGAGGCCCCAAAAAACCCTAAACCCTAAACCCTAAACCCTAAACCCAAAAACGCCCCTAAGCCCTGTTGGTCAACAAAAACCTAACAGGCACTGGCTCAATCGGTCGACCAGCAGAGTGGCCCCCGGGGGGCACACCGGTTCGCCTTTGGGCTGCAGTTTTCAGAAACTCCAGTATGTGCCCTGATTCTGGGATCATTCCTTAGAATGATATGGGAGTTTACGAACATGGCCCCCAAACAGTAGGATTCTCTTATAATAAGGACACCGCTAAGATACCCCTAATTGCGGAATCCCCTATATCATGATTCCTGTTGCAATTCTAGGATGCCCAGCAGTGCCCTTATTCCATTTTTGGACGGGTTTAGGTTCCCTTCTAAGCACCTTTAGTCAGAACAGGCACCCTTTTTAATCCTAGGTTACCGGGCAACCTAGACTTTAAAGCATCTTGCCTAATCAAGGCATTCAGGAGTCGCGTTGAAGCATTGGAAGATGGCTTTGGAAGCCCTTGAGTCTATGACCTTAGGCCGCGACGCGCGCCGCCTGCCCCACGCTTTGCCGCGGCTGTCATTCTGACATACTGCCGGGACGCCTGATGATCTGGTGCAGGAGGGATCTGCCACTTGGTCCGCACCATAAGGCCGAGCGGCTAGGCATCACATAGCGTGCCCCGCGCATCTTCAGGCAGCGTGCACATCCAGCCCATCCAGCACCACGCTGGCACTTCAGTTCCGTCTCTGGGCCTGGTTTTCGGGGGCTCAGTCCGGCTAGGGGAGAGAGGAGTTGGGGATCCGAGGCGTGCCTACCGCTGATCCGTGGGCTGTCCAGGCAACCCTTTGCAGGCTGGCGAGGGTGTGAGGGAACCCTAGGCCCTAGGCTTCTGCAAAACATACCAAGCCCGAAGCCGCAAGAACGCACAGGCCGGGAAGATGTGCAGTTCGACCCTTGCCTGGACGCTGCCGCCAGGCAGGTCTGTCTGCAGCCCCCTCCTTGGTTGCCGCTGGTAGCCCAGTGACACCCTTTTCCCTTTTTTTTGGTTCAAGGTTCCCTTCTAAAGTGTGCACAGCCCAAAAAAGGGTGCCCTGATATGGTTACTGGGCTGCCAGGCCCTCCCATGTCTCACTTGCCATCAAGTGTCACCAGGTCGGCAGCCATGTCGGCGATTGACGAGCTGCCCGCGACTTGCCTTGCCAAGCTACAGGTTTAGGGTTTCGGGTTTAGGGTTTCACGGTTTAAAAGTCTCCCCATGCATCCTGGGTCCCCGGTGCCGCGAAGCTCCTTATCCTTACGGCACCCTAAACCCGAAACCCGAAGCCCTAAACCCTAAAGCCTAAATATCAGGCAGCTGGCGGCGATCTGCTTCCTCATGAGCTACATTTTTTCGCGGCGGGAGGTTTTCAGGAGGCGAGTGTGGCGCTGGCGGGTTCAGGAAGCCTAACAACTAGTTGCTTGCTTAGGAACCCCACAAGGATTATGAAAAGTAATTATCCCTCCATTACCCTTGAGAAGGAAGAATATCTTTATTTAGGGTTTAGGGTTTAGGGTTTAGGGTTTAGGGTTTAGGGTTTTGGGTTTTGGGTTTTGGGTTTTCGGGTTTCTTAAGCAACTAGTAGTAAAGGTGCAAAGTCGATTTCGGGGAGCCAGCAACTGGGTTGGCTTTCTTGATGTTTAACATCTGAATATGTTTCTTGTTTAGGCGCCGTTTTTTGTGTCAAAGGAGTTTTACAGTCCGTACCCAGCATACTCTCAGTCATATTTTTTGTGGGGGATCCCATCATGACGGGCCGCGACATTGCAATGACCCGTGCAGCAAGGGGCCACAATTTCGACAACTGGCCTCTATGTATTAGCATTGGTTCTTGTTGTTGGTACATTTACAATGATAGTATAGTAGATCCCGGGTTCCAGTCTCCGAGGGGCCCAGAGGAATCTTCGTGGATATGTTTATGAAACATAGGGTCTTTAGGGTTTAGGCTTTAGGCTTTAGGCTTTAGGCTTTGGGGTTTAGGGTTTAGGGTTTAGGTATAGTGCTGGTATTGGCGAGTGCGTATATCAGGCGTCCTTGTGGGGATACTGGCAAGAAAGAAACACCATCCAACCCGGAGAGCCCAACGCTCCAAGATTAGGCACATTGAAGGACTGTTCCGTAGATTAGGGTTTAGGGTTTAGGGTTTAGGGTTGTGCGAAAGGGATCCGAACATGACTTAAGGTTGTGCATTCTTTCGGAAGGAAGGAAGACAGCTCCGGGAATTTCTTTGAAGAGCGGCCCTGATGCTCGCAAGCTTACGGCCTAGGATATGTTGGCTCAACAGCAACCCTGTTTAAGGCCCAGGCATTTTTTTGAGATAGCAGGGTGCTCCAGGCTTTTGATCCGGTCGGTCGGACTCCCCTTTTTCAGACCCAAAAGCCCCTGTATGAATCCTGGAGTCGAAATCGGTTCAGGATTTGCCCGGTTTATCGTGTTTTATACTGTTTTTTTTATGGGGTTTTGCAGAGTGTATAGGGTTTGTGGGGTTTAAAGAGCCTTGTAGGCTCTATGGGGTTTGTAGGGTTTATAGGGTTTTCAGTGTTGAAACCTTGGGCACAGGCTCCCGCTCCGGAGCGGGCCTCCGGATCTCGCAGAGGTGGAGGCGGACCTTTTGGTGTGTAGGGCCGTTTTGTTTTAGGGTTTAGGGTTTAGGGTTTAGGGTTTAGGGCTTAGGGCTTAGGGCTTAGGGCTTAGGGCTTAGGGCTTAGGGCTTAGGGCTTAGGGTTTAGGGTTTAGGGTTTAGGGTTTAGGGTTTAGGGTTTAGGGTTTAGGGTTTTCAGGCGGGTAGGGCCTTATCCCTTGGCAGAGTCGTACCAGAGGCATACATATGCCTTTATCGTGTTGTACAAAAAAGAGTTTGTGTAGACAGCACAAATTTTGGGCCCCTTGCGTGGAAGGGCTCTGGGCGTCTTGGGCCACAGGCTTTTGGGTTCTGGGGTGCCTTGTCGTTTGCTGTTGTTGCTTTCGCAGGATTCCGGAAAAAGTGCCGGAATAAGGCGCTTCTGTCAATGTCGGCAGAATGAACTCTAAGTCGGGCCTGCAGTGGCTGCACGCCCCTTTTCGAGAAATGCATCCACGCATGTGACGAGGAGGACCCTCAGCCCCAAACCCTTAGTTACAAACCCACGTCTAAGCCTAAACCCCAAGCCTCAAAAACCCAGTGGTGAATTGGGAAGCAAACCCCTGAACTCTGAACGCTAACTCCTAAACGTCCTAGAAGGCAACGACGCTCAGTCTCAGTCTTCGAAAGCCTCCCCAAAGCCTTGAAGCCCTCAACCCCAATCCTATAAACCCCCACACCCCCCCCCCCCCCCCCCACAAAGATCGCCAGACTCGAAACCCCAAAGTTGCTAAGCCCTAAACCCCAAGCCCTAAACCCTAAACCCTAAACCCTAAACCCCAAGCCCAAAACCCCAAGCCCTTTCCTGGTAGGTGGTCCTTCAAGCAGCGGTGGCCGACAGCGACTGCAGAGCCAACTCCAAGCGCGTTTGCAGAACGCCTCCTGCCCGCACTTTAGGGTTTAGGGTTTAGGGTTTTCGGGTTTTCGGGTTTTCGAGTACTAGGGTTTTCGGGTTTTAGGGTTCTAGGGTTTAGGCGTTTTCGGGTCTTAGGGTTTCAGGGTTTCAGGGTTTTAGTGTTCTAGGGTTTTTGGGTTTTCGGGTTCTTGGGTATCAGGGTTTTAGGCGTTTTAGGGTTTCAGGGTCTTAAGGTTTCAGGGTAGTAGGGTTTTAGGGTTTTAGGGTTTTAGGCATGTAGGGTTTTAGGTGTTTAGAGTTTTAGGGTTTTAGGTGTTTAGAGTCTTAAAGTTTCAGGGTTTAGGGTTTCAGCGAGGGTTTGGGGTCAGCATCGGGGTTTTTTGTTCTGATTTTGTATGGGTTTTCAGGGTTGAGGGTTTTCGGTTTTCAGGGCTTCAGGGATGGGTTTTCGGCGTTTTTGGGTTTGGGCCTTTGCGGGTTTGAGGCGTTTACGGTTTCAGGGTTTAGCGCAAGCGTGCATGACAAAAGCCTTTCGAAGCCGACTTAATGCCCCAAAGACCCTTAATCGCAAAGAATAATTCGGATTTCGGACGTGCCATTCATCTCTCGCACTTTTTTCTTCCTCACCACACACTCCCTTCTCTGTATCTTCCACATGAGTCTAGTTGTAACATTGGGATTGAAGGCTAAAACACACTCTCCCTGTCGCACCTTGAGACCCGAACTCTGATACCTTGGTCTACCCGTTCGCAGGAATCTAGTTCTTAGGAATGCTTCCTCCAAACCTGTTTCATATCTAGTTGATAGTTAAAACCTGAGTATTATTACAGGGGTGAACAGTCGAATTCCCTTTATTGTCATTGTTTCGCCTCCTTCACTCTCAACAGATACAAAGATACAAGTGAACGAAGTGAGCGCGTGAGCTGAGAAAAAGCGAAAGAAAGGGAAGGAAATAAAGCAAAGGGCCAAAAGACCTCTGAAGCTTCACAGTCTTTTTGGGCAATCTTTGGAGCGCACAATTATGCGTTGTGTGCCCTTTATTGTTTCTTCCTTCGTGTTTGTTGTTGGTTTTCTTTCTCTTTTTGCAGGCTTGTAAGAGTATCACTTCGTGCCCGCGGCGAACACCATAATGGCACAGCAAATGCGGGCTAACTGAAACTCTTAGCTTTGCACGACAGGCGCCGATGTGCTGGGACGTTGACCCCTATGCCTGGTTCAGCTGGTGAGCCCCAAGTCCTAGGATGCCCAGTAGTGTCCGTATTCCCTTTTTTGGGCGGTTTAGGTTCCCTTCTAAACACCTTGAAGCAGCAAAAGGGCACCCTTGGTAATCCTAGGTTCCTGGGCAACCGAGAGTCCCAAATCGACTAACGACTAAGCCCTGAACCCTGAACTCCAAACCCGGAACCCTGAACCCAATCCCTGAACCCTGAACCCTGAACCCTAAACCCTAAACAATGCCACGATTCCTCAGCCAAGGGTGGCGACTTCACGGCCGAGGACTATGAACTGCTTCTGCAGTTGGACGAGAACGCCGGGGGTGGAGCTGCCAGGGCGGAGGCTCATGGAGTTTAGGGTTTAGGGTTCAGGGTTCAGGGTTTAGGGTTTAGGGTTTAGTGTTTAGGGGTGTTGTCAGAGCGGCGCAGGGCTCCGAAGTGAACAGGCCCTTAAGGTAAAGGGCACAAGGGCCTTGTGTAGTTTGAGAACCACTTGCCCCTTGCTAGCCCAGTGGTACCCTTTACCCCCTTTTTTTTTGTTGGTTCTGGGTTTCCCTTAAAAAAAATTACCCAACCCCAAAAAAAGGGTGCCCTTGTTAGAGTATGGTTACTGGGCTACCAAGTGTGCCTGGAGGAGAAGTGCTTGCTTCAAAGCCTCGTGGCAGCTCTCCCCTTGTCGAAAGTGACCGCGGGCAGCACCATTGCTCAGTGCATGATCTGCGTCTCGGAACGCAGCCATCTGCAGGGTTTAGGGTTTAGGGTTTAGGGTTTAGGGATTCGTTACTTCACCCGTCAACCTACAGTCAAACCCTCGTTGAGAAAACTCGTTTGCCAATCAGGCTCTCCAATGATGTCAGTTGGTTTTGAGAGCCAGAAATTGCGAACATGGCCGCGACACCTTTCTTACAGGGGAGGGTGCGGATAGCAAGGCCCAGAGAATCTGTACGCAAGGCCTCTCACTTCAGGATGCTGCGCCAAACCTGCTAGAGACACCTGGTGGCCTCAGACCCTTCTTCCCGAAAGCCTGATTGAGGGTTTAGGGTTTGGGGTCTAGGGTTTCTTGTGCTCAAACTGACAACCGAATATTCCGATGTAAGAGAGGCAAATGGAAATTTGGGTTGTGGACGAAATAAGAAGTATGACCTCAGTGCAGTCTTTGTGGGGCTTTGGAAGTTTGAGGGCTCAGAGGGACTGATGCAGCTGATTCGTCCAGCCACTTGCGGAGCTATTCAGGCCTGGAGAATATGGAGGTTGGGGCGAAGATACGCACACTCCCTTGCATGCAACTTGTCCGAAGTAGTATTCATGAAGCACTTCCGCGTTTGCTGCAGAGCTTTTGCATCCACTTGCACCCTAAACCCTGAACCCTCAAGGCCAGGATAAACAGAAATTGTACGCGTCTCATTGCGCGCAGCTGGTACCATAATCCTTCATCTTTCACAATGCAAAAACATCAGACAAAACATGGCTTTCAGGCAAGATTTCAGCAAAAGCAAACCAAAAACGAAATCCGGCTGCTCCAAGCCTGGAGAGCCATCGCAGAAGAAATGTCATTCAAAAAGCAAAAAGACAAGACCCGGCAAAAACCCGGCAAAAACCTGGCACAACCCCCCAAAACTCCGGAAAAAGAAATATCATTCAAAAAGCAAAAGACAAAACCCGGCAAACCCCGGCAAAACCCCCCAAAACCCCCAACCCAAAAGGCTTCAGGAGGGAGGCCCCAGGAGGCCCCAGAAAAAAACCAGGATGCCCACCAAGAAAGGTTCAGGAAGCCCCCAAAAGGGTAGGAGCCCCCCCCCCCCCCCCCCCCAGAGAAGATTGAAGATCCAAAAAGGCTCCAAAAAGCTTCAAACCCTGTATCGTATTCATTCAAAAAAAACCAAAACCCGCCAAAACCCGCTGAAACCCCCCCAAGCCCACCAAAACTCCGGACACAAACCCTCTACAATTTCTATAAACCCGAAACCCTCAAACCTAAACCCTAAATTCGCAGGCACGTCTTTCACCGTAAATGCATCGATCGGTGGCTCTGCGAACCTGGACGCAAGCCTCGCTGTCCCATCGATCAGGTGGGGCTTGTCAAGCTATAACCCTAAACCCTAAACCCTAAACCCCAAACCCTAAACCCCAAACCCTAAACCCTAAACCCCAAACCCCGAACCCAAGTACCTTAAGCCCCAAAGCCCTACACCCTCAGCCCCAAACACCTTGCCGCCTAGGTCGAAGTGCGGCTGACCGCCTTCCAGGAAGGGCCGGTTTAGGGTTTGGGGTTTAGGGTCTAGGGTCTAGGGTCTAGGGTTTAGGGTTTAGGGTTTAGGGTTTAGGGTTTAGGGTTGAGCCGGGACGGACCAGGACGGCTTAAAAGAACGATATAAGTCTATTTGGGGATACACACCATTTTCCTCATACCTAGATTCAACGGTGGATCCTGATTGCTTCATCATGAAATCGCATGTATCTGTCAGGGTTTTTCTCAGCGTAGGTATTTTGATAATGTGTTGACATAGCGCAGACAATTTGATAAAATGTTGGCATTAGATTGTTTCTGATTCCATTCTTCTCTCGACCAAATTCGTTGTGGTGGTGGGCGCATACGCCGATTGGATTATCTTTTTTTTATTTATTGGGTTTATCATCTATTCCGGCTCGACTTCATATGAAAAGGGATAAGGATCTCGCCATTTGGATTCAAATTTCGATTAAGAAAGATTAATTTTGAGGATGAAAATATAGATCTCTTTCTTAATCTGAATATTTATCTACTCTATAAAACGCTACGGTCAAACAAGCCCTATGCAGTGCGTCACGCCTCGGAGCGCCCTAGCCCCAAAATTTTCCGGAAATTTCTGGACCCCGGCGAGCAAGCCGCTTTGGCCTACCCGGGACCCAAAATTTCCGGGAAATTTTGGGGCCTGGGCTGCGCCCTTTGAAAGGCTAGGCCTCTTCAACGGCCGCAAGCCGGATTCGCTCCCCTAAATTTCTGGAAAATTTCTGGTTCCGGGTAGCCTGAAGCCTCGATTCCTAAATTTCCGGAAAATTTGCTTCATCGCTTTCCTAAATTTCCCGAAAATTTACACACCCAAAATTTTCAGGAAATTTAGGAAACGGATGCAGCCTTCTTGTCTTGGATGCCCGTATTCTTGTTGCATGAATTAGAACGTATGTCGCGGTTAAGCGGAGCACAGCTCGGGGCATTAGAGCGCATGTCACGGGCAAACGCAGCATAATTCGGGGATGCATTGAGGACGGGCTTACCCCCCAAACCCACTGAAGCCGCATGGAGCCACATGGAGCCGAATGGATCCGCGTGAAGGCGTACGGAACTTCCACTTCCCACCTCGCGCGTGCCAGCAGGTCCCTTCCGATTAGCTTTGTCAGGTCGACGTTAGAGGCATGGGCTATTGCAGCGGAATGCGTTCAGGGATCTCTTTTCAGGTGTTAGCTTTCGTTGCCCATGGCCGAAGGGACGAAGCGTAGGGCATGATTCTAGCATGGCTTTTGCTTTCAAGCTTCCCAATGCTCGCAACACGTCGTGCAAGTGTAGCTGAAACATGGCAGCAGGCATCTTGGCTTTATCCGTAAGGACTCAGAGCACTGAATCTCTGGATCTTCTGAATATGAACCTTCCCTACGATTGCAAGATATTTGCAGAATCCACGCCGCCCATTTTGTCTCGGGCTTGCGTGTTAGCCAGGTCGTATCTGATTTTTACGCTGCTCGCCGTCCAGCTGGACCCCGAGATCGGGGCAACGCTTCCCGGCAGGCCGGACGTGTCACGGTGGGAACACTGCTGGCCGAGCATGGGATGTCAGAAGCCGAGTAGCGTGGTGTCGCTTTGACTTGCATCGGTGGGAACACTCCCGAAGAATCCTAAGTACCTACATGAGGGTCACTTACCCAAACCATAATAGTAGTTCCTTTTATAGAAACCCTACTTTCTACGATGTAGGTACTTAGGACCCTTTGGGACTGCTAGCCGAGCATGGGATGTCAATAGCCGAGTAGCGTGGTGCCGCTTTGATTTGCATCGGTGGGAATACTGCTAGCCGAGCATGGGAGGTCAGAAGCCGAGTAGCGTGGCGCCGCTTTGACTTGCATCGGTGGGAACACTGCTAGCCGAGCATGGGATGTCAGAAGCCGAGTAGCGTGGTGCCGCTTTGACTTGCATCGGTGGGAACACTGCTAGCCGAGCATGGGATGTCAGGAGCCGAGTAGCGTGGTGCCGCTTTGATTTGCATCGGTGGGAATACTGTTAGCCGAGCATGGGAGGTCAGAAGCCGAGTAGCGTGGTGCCGCTTTGACTTGCATCGGTGGGAACACTGCTAGCCGAGCATGGGATGTCAGAAGCCGAATAGCCTGGCGCCGCTTTGACTTTCATCGGTGGGAACATTGCTAGCCGAGCATGGGATGGCAGAAGCCGAGTAGCGTGGTGCCGCTTTGACTTGCATCGGTGGGAACACTGCTAGCCGAGCATGGGATGTAAGAAGCGAGTAGTGTGGTGCCGCTTTGACTTGCGTGCTTTGACTTACGTCGATGGGAACACTGTTAGCCGAGCATATGGCTTCTGAGTAGTGTGGCGCCGCTTTGATTTGCATCGGTGGGAACACTGCTAGCCGAGCATGGGATGTCAGAAGCCGAATAGCGTGGTGCCGCTTTGACTTGCATCGGTGGGAATATTGCTAGCCGAGCATGGGATATTAGAAGTCGAATAGCGTGGTACCGCTTTGATTTGCATCGGTGGGAACACTGCTAGCCGAGCATGGGATATCAGAAGCCGAGTAGTGTGGTGCCGCTTTGACTTGCATCGGTGGAATACTGCTAGCCGAGCATGGAATGTCAGAAGCCGAATAGCGTGGTGCCGCTTTGTCTTGCATCTTATAATCTAGATTTTTTTGCTTAATA